CTGTTTGCCAATAAAAAAAAAAAAGTAAATCCTATTTGAGACTAGATAAGGTTTAAATACGTACATATTTGCATATATGTACTAAGATAATTCAGCGGCAGGATCAGTTGCTGGCCTAATGAAAGGCCCACTGATAAATGCTGTAACAGGCTTAATTTGGTGTTCCACAGTGCTACTTACTGAATGTTTTCTATCCCTGTCCTCCTTCAGAGTAAGTCATACAAATAGTTAGCAAACAAAAAAGTCAAAAGTACAAGAATTCTAGAGACTTCTCTCTAGTTTATCAAACCCTTAACTAGGCTGTCAGGACATTAGTAACCAGCTCACTATACCCAGCAGCAGCCACTTATCAAAGGGATGTGGTAAGATAAGCCATAAGATCTTTTTCAAATAAGCATATTTATGAACACCTGAGGTCCTCACAATCTCAGATTGTGTGTCTATAGGGTATTGTTACTGTAGACCACTAGGTAAAGGACATTAGCCAGAAATGATTTTTCAAATTTTTGTGAAAAACAAAGAAGTATATATCCCAATATTTCCTATATATATTTCAGATCTAGGTGAGTGTGTGTATGTATGTTATATGTATTTGAAATAGTACATATAATATTTATCCAACTAACATAAACCAGTCCATCAGATTACTAAGAATGAATATACATATGTAATGTTTAATAATTCTATATTTTTATTCTATACCTATAAGTTGAAATGGAAGTATCTTCCATTTAAGATAAACTAGTTCATTGAATTATTTCCAAGGCATTGTATAACTATAAATATTTCAACATTGATTGAATACCATTCTCTAGCTCCAACTGGGATTTTTAGAGTTTAGCTAACATCAAATGTATCATCTTATTTCTAAATATTTAGTTTTCAAGGCACAGGTTTTTTTACAATAAGCTACTCTAATTCTGTGCTTTTATCTGCATGAAGCTTCCATCTTTGTTGCAAATATCACATAAAACAGCATCTTACAAAATTGAATTGGAACCACTTATAACCTTACTGTGGGTAACACCACCAAGAAGGAAAGGCTATGGTTTTACTTCCTATCATTTAAGACTATACAACCAGCACTTTTCAGCTACAGCAGATCAACCTTGGCAAGTCTTTTTTGCTAAACTTAGTGGTTGACTTTTGCCACCACTTTAGCTGTCAGTTTGAATCATCTTGAAGAAAGAAATAAGAAAATAGAAAATGTTCCTTAGTTGCACAAGGAACAACAGGAAGGAAGCAAGAGAAGACAAAGAAATCTCTGCTGTTGATTTCTCCCTATGTTCGTTTTTGTTCTGGAGCTGGGAGTAGGAAAAAACACTAATGAGACCCTTTTCTGATGATTGGGAAAATGTTCTGAAATGATTTTGTGCATCTGGTTCCTGACTACTGTTGTTAAAGACTCATTGCACAGATTACTTTACAATTCCCCACCTACGAAGCTATAGAAGACTCCTTAGCTCACACAGTGAAGCCAAATAATTCTTATCATTTCTGCTTCAACAAATTATCTTCTTTTCCCTCTCAGAGGTATGAAGAAAATTTTCATTAACTCCAAAAGATTTTATATTAGCTTTCATGTGATGGTTCTCAATAATAACATTTTTGATCTATCATCCGTGGTGAATAAAAAAATAGAATAGTAGTAGTTAATTTATTTTGAAAATATTACAGTATTGCCTTTTCTTCCTGATGATAGGGAGTAATAAAACAGTCCGAAGGGGGGAAAATTGTAAGATAACAAGTTACAGGTAACTAGAACAGTAAAATGAGATTTCATTTCAAACAGGTTAAAACTTAAATTCTGCAGCCTAAGTTCCAATGTGCCAACATTTATACTTGAAAAGTAAAATCTCCCTTTCACACATATGCAAAATTTTATGGTCACACATGAGAAAAAAAATGGAGATATGTCTTTTAAAATTGTTTTCTCCATGTTTTATTCCCACTCCAAAGAAAATAAAGTAAAATAGATAATCTATTTCAGTTTGTTTGTTCTCCAGAAATCCCAGACATTCCTAGTTTCCCATCTGAAACAGTTGCTAGTCTCAGGATTGTATGCAACATTTAAGACATTACGCAGATCTGAGAATTGTGAGCACATGAAAAGTTGCTGGATTCCAGGAACATGTCCGGAATTAGATGTGTGTTTAGTAGGAGAGAGATGGGTGGGCTCACTGTTGACAGAGGCATTTAATAGGAAATCAATTAAGGTCAAATGAGTGGGGAAAATAAATACAATAATATATCTAAAAGATAAATAGTACATGATAGACTCAAGTTATGACAAACAAAAATATCTTAAGAGAAAACGACAGGAAGGGACAACCCTATTTTTGTCTGGGACACAATGTGCCATTATGGCTCATATTTTTACTTTTGAGAGTTTTGTAACAGCTGAATCAGATGTAGATTTGTAATGATTTCAGTACGCCACTAAAATGTCATTGTCTGTGCACACCCTTGAGGGCTAATAGGAAGAAGAGTGATACAAATACACCATCCCATTTCTACCTCTTTTTCATGCTCTTTGCTAGCCTCAATATGACTTTATTTCCTTCAGCTACAGACGAAAATACTAATTATCTCAGGAAACTTCAAGACTTACATTTTGAAATTCAGCTGTCCTTTTACTGACAAATATATCATAACTTTGTGCTAAAACTGGATTCAAATTTTTTCTCAGGGACATTTTATTTATTGAAATCCACTTTCAGTTACTCTACCTAAGAGTAAAGATGATTTTCATCTTATAGAAGGAGAAATAGAGGCCCAAAATGTCCTACAAAACATACTACAAAATTCTTAATAGATTTAAAAATCTTTCTGCAACAATCTTTTGACTTCCTGAGTAAAATGTGGCTTTGGATCTATTTTGGATTGGGGGAAGGTCTATCAGCTTCCTTAACTGGCAGTTTTATTCCTTATGGTGGTTTAATTTGAAGGAAAATGAAACATCCCATGATGTATTTGAGCATTTGAACTGGGAATCTTGGGAAAACTTTTAAATATTAATATTCTATAATTTTCCATCAAAGAAAACCACCAAGAATCACTGTTTTCTCCCTCCCCTGGTAAATTTAGGACATTTCTTCAATTATCTTAATATTAGAATTTTTACTGTACAACAAAAATCATCACAAATTTAGTCACTTAAGCAACACAAATTTATTATCGTACAGTTCTGTAGGTCAGAAGCCTTAGCAGGTCTCGCTGGGCTGACATCAAAATGTTGGCAGGTTAATTTCCTTTTTGGAAGTTCTAGAAGAGAATCAGTTTCCTTGCTCACTTGGGTTGTTAGCAGATTGTAGTCCTGGTGGTTGTAGGACTAAGGTCTTTATTTTCTTGCCGTCAGCTAACAGCTATTGTCCACTTAGAAGCCAGCCACACTCCTTGGCTTGTCCCCCCACTTATCTTCAACACAAGCAGCAACAAGGCAAACCTCTCTCACATTCCGAATATCTCCTCTCTCTTCTCTTACACCCCTTTTACTCATTCTTCTGCCTTCTTTTTCTATTTTTAAAGACTCATGATTAGGCTGATCCAACCTAGATAATCCAGAATAATCTCCCCATTTTAAGGTCCTTAATCACATCTACAAACTCCCATTTGCCAAACCAGGTAACATAGTCAGGGATTTTAAGGACTAAGGCCTGAGAATTTGGGGGGAAATTATTAATCTGCCTTCCACACCATGGAACTATTTTGTGCCACAGAGAAGTTTACCTCATATCTGTACCATAAAAATATAAATAAGTAAATACCGAAAATAAAAATTTCTTTACTTGTTTATTTACTTAAAGATCTTAGAAAAGAAAGGTTTGGCCCATTACTAAAAATATTAAAATGCTTCTTTCAAGTTGCAAAAATAACTACTCATTGATTAGGAAAGCTGGAAATGCACTAGGTGAATACACTGAATTTATAGTGTATTTAGTAAATGGGGCTTAAACCTAAGTATTGAGATTTAGTAAGTACACCAGTGGTGAACTTCTGTATTTGTATCCACTAAGCACTGACACTGAGCTTATATCAGTTGTCAAAAAGAAGTGAACATATTTTCAAATAGTTAACTAGTATATCAGTAACTTTATATAAAAATACATTGTAGAAATAAATATCCTTTATTAATACATATATACACATGGGATATTTAAAAAGTTCATAGAAAACAGATATTATTTTAAAAAAACTATGCATGGATTTCAAAATTTTTGCACCAGAACAAACTTGTACTTTAATTCCATTTTTCCACAAACTTTCTGAAGTCCCCACACAGACACACACACACACACACACACACACACATTTAGGATATATGTCCTAAATTTTTAATTATCAAAGTAAGTTATTGAAAATTTTGAAACTTATTTACTAATAAGTTTATATTAAATATACTTAATTGTTCTACTATAAATTAAAACTGTCTGAGAGAAATACTTACCAGTTAACCAGAGTGGCAGAGATGTGGCTCATTTTTATACTTTTGAGAGTTTTATAACAGCTAAATCAGATCTAGATTTCTAATGATTAATAAGTCACTAAAAAATGTCATAAAATTTTTTTCTAAAGTGCCCAATACTTTCCATTTTATCTCTTTAGTATATAGAGGTTTTATTTACTGTTATCTAAAGATAGATCCCTTGCTTCTTGCTGTGAAACATACAAAAAAAGTTTTCTAAACAAATTAGCAACAACTTGAAACGACTGCCTCTCTTGATTTCTTTGTGGTTCTTGTAGAATGGATATTTTTTTTCTCGGTATTACTAGAAAATGTATCACAAGGCAACTTGTATAAATTATTAGCAAGTGATAATGAGTAACGGATAATGCTCCTAATTTTAGTTTGTTGTTTTTTTTTTTTCCAGTAGAGTGCATTTCCCTCTTCATAATCATGCTATTTATTTATCTGGGTATTGTTTGTTTTGGGGTTTATGTCTAGTACATGCACACAGGATATCCCCTTTAACAATATAACTTAAATCCATTCCACTTACCAAACTATTCCCTGAGCCCCAGAGCCAATAGGCTTTAGGTTCTGGTAGCGCTTGAGAACTGTGAAGGTTGAGTCTCCCACTTCCACACTGTAGAACTGGTTGTCAACTTTGCTTTTGCTCATGTTGTAATGTTTGGCAATATATGACACATCCACTTGTTTATCGAATCCCTGTCAAAAAGAAGAACAACAAAAACATGAGTCAAGTGAACAAGCAGAATGATAGTGTGATGTAGAGAAGCCTGCTCTTTTCACAATTACCAATACTTGGACCTATATCTTCCAGCGCATGTATTTCACGTAGAAAAATATAGGTATGATTGCATGCAGAACTATCTGGAGTAAAAGTGTTTAAAAAAAATGCAAAGGAACTTTTTTGAAATATTAAAGGATTTGATTCACAGAATCTCTTTTGAAAGGTATCATTAAAATTATTCACTATGAAGCAAACATCTACTGAATATACACTGGTCTCAGAGACTATACTAGATTTTTTAAGATCCTAAATCAGACAGAGGTGATCACTGAGCATCTAGCATAATAGTCACATGGGAAAGGATAAAAGATTGTATCTAGACTCCTTTCTTAGAGGGAATCAGCAGTTGGTATAATGGCTATGTCACTGAGCTCCCACATGGTCGACTGCAGTTTGTGTCCCGGACCTGGTGGCTTAAAACTCACGCCGGGCGCATGTGCATGCATGCCCAAGATCCCGAGAGGAGAATGGAGAAGGGATTGCAGCGTGACCATTCCCCCTGGGGGGTGATTTCTCGCTTTCTGTCTCTATGTCTCTCTCTGTCTATCTGGCGAGCGCACGTGCCCTATAGCGAAAACCTCTCCAAAAAAAAAAAAAGAAAGAACTGAGATATAAACCAATGTATAGTTTTCATTATTTTAATTAGGTAAATTTGTAATAAACAGCGTTGATTTTATTTGTTCTCATTAATATCAAAAATACCATTATTATGAACTAAGAGTTAAAAAAATCTTAGTTCAAATTAACATTATTCTAAAGTGCTACATGATACTTCATTTTGAAAGCTTAATTTTAAATATCTCTTTAATTTAAGAGAAATTTATCATGTTAGTAGCTGAATGGTCTGTCCTTGAAATTTTGAGTGATGTATATACACATATGAAACATAAATATTTATTGCCTGTGATTCTTTATCAAAAAACTATCTTATATTGGGAACCAGCAGTTAGCGTAATGGCAATGTCGCTGGACTCCCACGTAGTCGACCGCGGTTCGTGTCCCGGACCCGGTGGCTTAAAACTCACGCTGGGCATGTGTGCGTGCGTGCCCAAGATCCTGAGAGGAGAATGGAGGAGAAGGGATTGCGGCGTGACCATCCCCCCTGGGGGGTGATTTCTCACTTTCTGTCTCTATGTCTCTCTCTGTCTGTCTGTCTGGCGAGCGCACGTGCCCTATAGCGAAACCCTCTCCAAAAAAAAAAAAAAAAACTATCTTATATTATGCTTTATGACATAATTAGTGAGAATTCTATAGCGAAAGGAACTTCATAGAATATCACCTAGCCAACTTCTTGTGGCACACACTGGTAGATGCTTGCTGAACAGTCATCCTCTTTCTTGCTGATATTGCTCGGGTTTTGAGTGCATACATTTTCTTATGGGTTTCTTCCCAGTCTTAGCAGTTGAAAATTGAATAATCTATGCCATCAGTTTTCATTAAAGGTCTCCAATAAGCCACTGGGCATTTGGGAGACTCATGGACTTGTTTTAAAATGCTACAATGATGGAGATGTGGCTTACATTTATTTGACTTCTTAGAGGATGCTGATTGTCCTGCAATGAGTGGAACATCCCATGTAATGAATAATTTCCCACAAATCTCACAAATTTTGAATGTTTAGCCAGTTTTAATTGGTTAATAACTTGCCTATAATGTTTTAAACCCAGAATCAAAATTAAATAGTGTTTAAATGATAGTAATGTACATTAACTTTTCTGAAAATCTAATTTTTACATAATTTGAAAGATTTAAACCTCCTTAGCTCTGAACTTTTGGGTAGGTCATAAAACCATTTTCTTGGGAAAGTTTTGGCACTTCATCTCTAAATTTAAAAAAATGCAGAAGGAGTACAATCCAATTTTCCCCTGTGCCTTTGGAAAGAGATCCAGTCAGTATCAGCAAAGTAAGTGAGGAGAACCCAGTAGGAACATATGAACATGGGTGGCAAAACCTGGAAATCTAGTGCAAAATCTTCATACCTCAGACCTGACAGAAGGATACATGTGACAGGCACACATGTGTGCCTGGCAGATTTAAGAAAAATACTCACGGATCTCAAAGGATAAAGTAGACTGTATATTAGGAACCTACATTGTTTGGACAGACAACTGAAAGTCTAGGTAATATGTGAGTATAATAGCAGATGATCTGAAATCTAGGAAGCAGTCTATGAAGCATGACAGAGGAAATTAAACAAGGATATAAAAATCAGATCATAGCAAGCCTATTCAAGGAAACAACAACGGAGTTTACAGTTTAGACCATGGGTGTGGACAGTGGAAGAAACAAAAGCACTAGTATTTAAATAATCCTTTATTTCAGCCATAGTACCAGGAACAGCTCTCCACACCATGGTCCATTTCTACTCTAGACTTTCTGCTGAATAAGTAAACCAGCCTTATGAAATTCTTGCTTTCTTCCTGGCTAAGAAGTTCCTTCTAGTAAATAATCCATACTACTTATGTCATAAAATACAATATGTGATCTCTCATAGAGAAATAATAATCATCAATAGATATTTAAATTATGCAAACATATTATTTGAAATTTCAAGGACAAAAAGCACCTGCAGCTATAATATCAAGTACATCCATCTGCCAAGGTTAATTTAGAATCCACGAAGTGCCTAACTTGCTGCTTGTCATATTCTGACTCTTATTTAAATTCTTGCATAATCTGGTTTCTGACCACTCACAAAATTTTTAGCACACGCCAACCTCATTAAACCTAGGTAACCCATTTCTAGTTCCTCCGTTCACTTTGGAAGTGAGCCTCCTGACTGTACTACATGTACTAACCAAATGCAATTACCGCTGTGTTCCAGACCTCTGACTCAATGTTGTATCTCGACACCACTCAACTCCTTTGGACTCAGTTGTAACTTTTCTAGGTATAGTCTCAGTCTTATTACACTTCATATTACACCAACCTGCCAAAGCTCTTACATTTATATATATACTCAAGAAAACCAAGAAAGTTGAATGATTCATGCCACTTATTTTTTCAAGATTACCCTAAGAGATACTCTATTTAACATTTACAACTGTTGGAGCCAGCAGGTGGTATGGTGGTTAAGAAGCTGGACTCCCACATGGCCAACACAATTCGAATCCTGAACCTGGTGGCTTGCTTTCTCCATTTTCCTTTATCTCTTTCTCTCTCTAGTCAAATTAAACAAATAATAATAATAATAACGATAATAAATAAATAAGTAGTTCCAAACGCAGATGATATTCATATTACAAGCCAGATACTGAGTTTGACACTGGGAATACAACAAAGAAAGAAAGGTCTCTACCTAAAATGGAGACAGTCATGTAAGCAAGTAGTTAAAATACAGATGAGATACTCTGCAGTGGAATATATAAGGTGCTGAGAGTAAACAGGAAGTAGGAATCAGGAAGTTAATTGCTTCCATGCATTTACTATCATCAACTCATTCAACTACCATGTATAAAGCAGTTGCTAGATGCCAGTAACCGGTATAAGATTGGAAATGTGTGATGGGACACTTGCTCTGTGTTTCCCCCCAGCTAACAATATCCCCAGACCTCCCTTTTCATTGGTTCTCAGACCTGAGTGTGCATCCACACCACCTGTGGAGCTCTAGCAAACACAAATCACCAGCATAAGACCTGAAGGTTCCAATTCAAGCATCAGCCTAGGTCCTGAGGATCTGCAGCTGAATAGGCAGTCTAGGGAATTCTGACCTAAGGATCTGATTATCTGACTTTGAGAAAGATCACATTAGAATGATCATTCTCAAAGTGTGCTTCCTGGAGCATCAGCGTCACCTGGAAACTTGTTAGACATGCAAATACTCAGTTTTACCCCACACCTATTGAATCAGGAACACTCTGGGGTGGGACTCAGCAATCTATGTTTGAATAAGCAGTCTAGGTATCCTGATTCATGTTGAGAGTCACACATCTGAGTAGAGGGATGGCCTGTGAATCAGGTGATACACCCTTTCCTGAGATATTGGAAAGTAAAGCACTTACTGTGCAAAAGAAATATTTCTGCATCTTAACTAGGAAACATACTCTGTGGCTGTATGAACTGCTGAATTTCATTGTTTGTGGCACACACGACTTATAAACCAGAGTTCAAGTTAAAACAAGGATTAATCTGTATCTCAAATTCAAGTATTTTTAAAGAGTCCTACTGCTCCAGACTCAAGGACAAAGTCTCTGTATTCAGGCAGGTCAGGGCTTGGCCAAATGCTATGAAAAAGTAAATAATTTCATCTCAACAATTGTTCACACTCCTGAAAAGCATACAGTAATTTTTCTAGTGTGTACCTAGAACAGGATTTTTCACATAATGAAGATGCTATATAAGGACTTGGTGATACTTTGGTACAGTGATTAAAATAATCGCAGAGCTTATCCATCAATTTTAGTAATAAGAGAACTCCCAGTCAAAAAAAGAAAAAAGAAGCTATTCAAACATAATGCCTGATACTGTGACACATTTTCTAAAGTAAAAATTACTCGATGATCTTTTATCTCCATTTCAGAGCATATAATTTCTCTGGATAAGATGGAAAAATAATTATTAAAAGGTTTGCAAATTCACATACACACATAAATGTATCATTTATTTTCAAGTGCCTTCTTTATAACTAGTTATGAATTTTTTTAAATTAGTTTATTTAATTTTATTTATTCATTCATTTATTTTCATTTGACCAGAGAGGGAGAGAGAGAAAGTGAGAAAGCAAGCCACCAGGTCTGGGACTCAAACCATGGTCGGCCATGTGGGAGTTTCCAGTACCTTAACCATCATGCCACCTGCTGGTCCCCACTACTTATGAATTTAATTGTAGGTAAAATCTAAAAGTTAAGGAGTACATTCTTGAAAGAATCTCAAATACTTAGTAAGATTATTACTTAAGCAGTAAGACATGAAGATA